ATGCAAGACCCTAACAGAGGTTGGCTAACGTACCATTCAAACAACACCAATGCTCTCCTGTAATGATGAACGCATGGCTGCAGCTGCAAGATACCCATGAACGAATGGGCCAGGCAATCATCATCAATTCACCAACAGCGACAGTGGTCAGGACTGCGACAGTTAGTGTGGTTGTGATGTCTGTGGTTTGTGACTTTAGCTGTTTTTCATTGCAAATATGTGGGCCATTCAGGTGATATTTCGGCTGTCATTATTATATACATGTCCTCGCCTCTGAGCTGTAGGCGATATAAATTTGATATACCTTGACCTAAAGTAGCTTTTAGATAAGACGGTATGAATTGCCTTACTTCGACCAAATGCCGCCATCGAAACGAACACCGACTGATATCCGTTCCGATGAAGGCATGCAGCACAAACATTAGCATATCGATCTGTCCATTCCACTGACTATTCTACGAAGAATAAGCCTATTAATACTGCCTTATCTATATGTATAACGTTCCTCGCAAAGCATTTAACAACGTAAGCTACATTAAAGCTCTATTGGTTGTGATGGTGATATGAGGACTGCTGTTTGACTTGCCTGCGGTTCGTGACTTTCATGTGGTGTGGAAACAAAAATGTTCATTTATCCGGTGTCATAATTTAGTTGCCAGGCACTCACTGCTAAGTTGTCAATAATGACCTTCAACCAGTTGCCAAGCTTTGTTAGTTGCAGTGGCAGCGGCATCAGGACATGCCGATTGCTTTACTTGTCTGTGGCGCGTTCCGTTTATGTGATGTGAGAGCAGAAATACGTGAGTTATGCTGCGGGATAGCCTCAGCTGTCAAGCGCTCACTTGTAAGCTGCAGGCAAATGACCTATAACTAGCAGTTAAGCTGCGTTAGTTGCATGGGTGGCATCAGGGCATGCTGATCGGTCACCTTTGCTGTGGCGTAGGAATTTTAATAAATGTGAAAGCAAAATATGTGGGTTGTCCTGTGTGACGTGCATGATTTTGTGACTGAGAGACGTGTATCAGAGACCCGTACATAGAAAAAGCAATGGTAATTCGCATTCAAGGTCGTGTTTTTAAAAATTTGCAAAAAAAAATAATGAGAGCCAGGGCCTGGTCCATGGTCTGCTAAGGAACCAGAGGAAAGCAGGATCCCGAGTTGGAATTTTTCGAAGGAACCGCGGGAACCATCATCCAGGATTTTGTTTCGTCGAAAGTACCAATGACAACCAATGACAATCCAGGATCTTGGTTTGTCAAAAGATCCAGCAGGTACCCGGATCCACGGCTTTGTCTCGTGGACGGATCCAGTGAGAACTAGAGCCAAACCCGGGAGTCCGGCACATGTCTGGGTGTGGGAGTGGGACTAAGAAAGCGTAAAATACGGCACAGCCAAACGTCGTTACGCCGAAAATAGCTGCCATTCTTAAGCCGTCAAAGCCGCCCGGTGATAACCTGATACGAGACGAGAAATCTACTCCAGGACCATGAAGATGGAAGGTCTAACAAAAGAACTCATCGCACACGAATGGAATACGGACGTAGTTCTGCCTGCTGGCCAGTGATCCTCTGAAAGTGATGGGCGCTGGATGCACCGATGGCAGACAGGGCGTCAAACATGAACGAGAATCTCCAGCATCGCGAAAGGGAAGGGTGGGAGCACAAATGGGACTGCGTCCCACAGGCTCCTGGCTAGCGGACGCGTGGAACGTCTGGCGAAAAACAACGACGAGAGACGGCTTCGTTCAATTCATCCACTGGCATGCGTGAACGACCCATTCATTTCATACTAACATAGAAGAAACTCTGGACCAGTTCCATCAGCATCCGCACGAAAGCGATTACACCATCATCTGCATGAAGGACGCCCTGGCATACAGTTCACAAATACCTAGCAGGATGGCAAGTTTTCCGTTTCTGAACGTGGAGATGCAGGAAGGACAAACAAGTAAAAGCCAAGTTACCATGATTCTGCATGGTCCAATGTGGGTATACGTGAGGTGGAGCTTGCATTTTTCCCTGTCCATATTATTGTGGGTCATAATGCAGGAAAATGATATAATCCAAAACAACTGTGGATGTATATATAATATAATATATATATATATATATATATATATGTGTGTGTGTGTGTGTGTGTGTGTGTGCATGTACGTACGCATGTATGCATGTTGTATGTATATATGCATCTATATATGTGCGAATGTATGTACGCATATATATATATATATATATATATATATACATATACATTACATATACACGCACACATATATAATATATATATATATATATATATATATATATATATATATATACTCACCACGCAGAAGCACCACGACAGGGAAGTTAGCCGAGACGCTCAAATCGAGTACAGACGTCCATCCGATCGCGAAGGTTCGCCGACAGCCAGCCGCGGCGGAAAAAAAACCAACAAAGGCAGGACACATTACTGGCTTCCATTCCATGAGGAGCGGTCACCCCTGAGTGGATGGTCACACACCGCATTTCAATGGCTGGCCCCTAATGCCAAATCGGCGGGATCCTTGGTACTCCCAGCACCCGCCTTCGTCCTCGCGGGCTGTCATCCGGCAAGAACCTAGGGGATACCTGGATGAGGGGCCCGAACACATGGCTGAAGGACGAATTGGAGAAATGGGAGGAGGGACCGACGGCGAGGTGACCGGCCTGCAGACAGGTTGGGAGGGGGTGGCACCTACAGGGATAATAAAACCAGCGGGACGTCGTAGCGTGTTGGGACCGGACCAGCTCGGCGGGTGCCCCTCACAGCGCACTTCTGTCGGCACCCAATGAGCAACGGCGGACTGGCGCTCTGCAGACAACACCTCATGGCACTCAACAAGAGTCGAAGAAACAAAACAACTGAGTGTGTTAAAGTTCCACTTTTCAATGTTGTAACGCGTTACCGATGCCCCCCGCCCCCCCTACCTCTGATGTGGCAACCCCTTCTTCTGTAGGCGCAAGTCCTGTCCTGGTCATGATCTCGGCGGCGTGGCGTGATGCAATACCAACGATTAGTGGAACCGCTTTCGGGGCGCGGATGGGACGCGCGTTAGAGGGCAGGGGCGGCACATGTGTAAAGCGGGAATGAAACAGTGAGGGGAAACCGGGTGGTTGGACATGACCTTTAGTGAGATGTAAGCTGAGTCCTGTGCCTACAGTTGCGTTGCGTACATAAGAAGCGCAGACCGAAAATTGTTGTACGTGTGTATTAGTGCAAGGTATGTAAAAATAGTACGTGTGAAGCAAATCTTACGGGCGAAAGGATGAATGAGAAGAGAGAGCGAGTAGACGGAGTACACATCGCTGGTGAATTTTATGACCACAAGAAAACAAGTACGCTTACAGACGCTCAAATTATCTCTTGCGCGTCGCCACCCTAGCCCAAAATTCCGAACATCTAGTGCTGAAAAGACGTCAAAATCGGGATGACCATTGCACATGCAATCAATTTAAGCGATTTTTGACCTTAATCTGGAATTTGCACTACTCTCCACCAACTAACATTATATGATCAAAATGCTTTATTTCACGAATTACCAAGCTATAGTGAGTATCGAGTTTATTCTGGTGCGCCCAAAGTCCGTGCCAAAATGCGAATGCATCGTGCCAAAGCAGACTATGCTCGAGACATTCAACCATTTGTCATCAGAGGTTTAAAGCGCTTGTAAATTTGTGAAGGCCATTCACGGAAAAACAAGCAATATCCCGGATCCAAAATAGCAAATAACATAAAAAAGCAATGTGTCACCGTCACAATGCAACACGAAGCGCAGGGGCGGACACCACGCCATCACACATGCATTTTCCTCGATCTCGCAAAGTTTACCCCAACAACGTAAATGTTTCAATGCGAAAAGCTATCGTGTCAACAATTTGTATCCATAGACTGATAGGGACAGGGGCCACGGGTAATGGTGTCCCAAGCAGCATCAACTCAGCTACGCTCTAGCTACGAAGCACCTAAACTTACATACTTATTGTTGACTTAGTGTTACGTATGCTTGCAGTTAATTGATCGCGCATGTTTTAAGTGGTTCAAGTTATCAAATCTTCCACTACTGTCGTAAAACATCAAATCCAACACTAATTCGTGTGCCCGATATGAACGTCATGTCACAAGGATAAGATAAAGTACTACAAAAAATACAACAGATAATAATAATGCAATTACAAAAAAATACAATGCATGGAAAAGAGAGGTATTCAGTACACAACAGAACGTAGCAATTAATGGCAGGGGCGAAGGAAAGAGGGGGGGGGGGGGGGGGTAGACAACAAATGTCTGTGACATTCACTTCAAGAAATTGATTACCTACCTACGTCCATGCAACGACAAAGTACCAGCACAAACATCCTGCTCAAGACGATATGACAATGCATAAGTTGACACTCTGTATGTCAAGGGTGCTAGGGAATAAGTGGAAGGCCAGGGCGTGCTCAGGCTAATCACTGTGCCAGGATATTCTGAGACAGGAGGCAGCATTCATGCAATATCCCATTCAAACACGGACTGCGAAATGGGCCCGCGCACAAAGCGCCGGGGGGTTGCGAAGCCGCGCACGTAAGCGGAACTGGACGACTACAAACAGCCTTTAAAGAGCACATAGCAGTTGTAAAGCACTGACGTAGTGAAGCAGCCTTGGCTCATAACTGGTCTGAGTGCCGCGGCGACTTTGATCCATCCCAGGCCGGCACGGTATACACCAAACATGTGCCTGGTTTCTAGCATTGATTCCTGATTCCCACTCGCTCCTTTGACAATAAAAACATGAATTCTGGTTCGCACTGGTTCTTTAGCGGACAATGGACCTAGTTCCTGGTTCTCTTTGGTTCCTTCAAGAATATAAGACCTTGGTTG